GTACCCGTGGACCTTTTACACCCTAGTTTCTGAGGACGAGAGATGACAATGTGCATCTAATCCACCAGTCGGCCAGGGATTATTTGCTAGAGACATTTAATCTTTAGTTGGCTGGAAATGTCCCGGGACATGTGAGCATCGCTAAGCGCTCTATCGAAACCATGTCCTCGGTGCTCCGACAGGACATTTACGAGCTCGACCACGGCTTGAAACCAGAAAAATTGAAACCTGATGCCACCCCAGCCAGATCCTCCAGTTCCAATAAGGTGCGCGTGCATCTTCTGGGCAGAATGTTGAGCGCCTCGGGTCTGAGTGTAGTAGAGGGCCAGTGCTGGAATTTCTTAAGGTGCATTTCCTCCACTGGCTGGCAGCCTTGTCACTAATAGGAAGGCTCTTGGACGGATTTTTGTTAGGGAGGAGGCTTTTGCACGTCGCCCAGGTATGAGGAAGACTGTTATCACTATTCCTGGTAACTAATGGCGTCCAGGAGTCGTTTTCATGTTCTGAGCTTGCAGCCTTCTTGGGGGATGCTGAAAGGTTTATCAGTAGCTACGGATCCATCATAGAACGAGCCCCATTGCAAGCGGTTGGCTCTGCACTCGTGTTCAGTCCCATGGAAAGCTTGGTCAGAAAAGCGCAGTGGCAAGAGAGGCTGCCTTTCATCCCGACAGTTGCAGGTATAAGAGACCACCGGGACGCTCGGAGGCAGACACTCGAGGGGCATGGGGGCCAGTTTAAGGCTGTCGCACTTTCATCCGCCGGCATGATCGCCTCGGCTTCCGGTGACTGTACTGTCCGGCTCTGGGGTGCGGCCACGGGAGCATGCCGGTGGGTGCTCGCCAGGCGTAGTGAGAATATCTGTGCGGTCGCCTTTTCACCCGATGGCAAGATCATCGCCTCGGCCAAGCGACTGCAGCATCCGGTTTTCCCCCGATAGTTCCTTGGTTGCCCCAGCCTCTGATAATTGTACATCCGAACCGGGAATTTAGCTACAGAGGCACACCAGCAAACACTCGATGGGTATAACGGTGAGGTCAAGTCCCTGGTGTGTTTGAGTAGCAGGACCCTGATAAGATGGATGTGGCGCGAAACATGTACAGACCGTGACTTTACTATTAGCGGGTTACTAGAGTTCTTTAACTGATTATAGATGATACATCTTCCCACTTCAATTCTCTGTTATAGTAATGGGGTGCTAACTCTCATAAAGTTAACGTATTTTAAAAAGACAAGCAAATGGTAAGAACTTGGGCTTCAAACACGAGAGTATTGAGACGCCACGGAACTAGATGTTGTATTATAAGGCATATATCTTGCAGCTAGTTGGTGAAGTAAAGTCGAATGTAATGTAATTGAAGCATGTCAGTCTACCTCTTTGTGCAAGAGGTGAAGCAATGTCTCATTTGGGACGTAACACAGCGCTAGGATTAAAGGGACTATAGAGTGCCTTGCAATACTATAAACCCATCGAGTTCAATTAATATCTCACAGACACAAAGCTGACAGTAAATATACAAGGGCTTGAATGCCAGGCTGCGAGGCTCGAGCCTCACTATTATTACCTATGCCTAGTATTTGGGATACTCTTCTAGCAGAAAGCACTCAATAGTCACGTATTTAAACTAGTATATTTTTTATTGAGTTGTAATTTTTTTTAACCCATCTTGATAGTCGTGCAAGCACTGCATCAGGTAGTGCCTCAACAAGTAACACCATGTGCCTGGCCGTACCTAAGCCAAAGAACAGTAACAAACCGCGTCATATACTATAAATGCATCTCAATGCGTTAAAAGCTAGTGAAACTGGTGATTCATCGCGGCGCGCCGGCAAAGGCTATCTCGCGATAGCCTCAGCTATTGTATGGAAGTAAAAATATAGTTTGTGCCAGTGACTTGCTCTGAAAACTCAAAATGGCCGCACACAACATATGTAAATGAGGTTAGACCAATCGACGTTATCTAAATCCGCGAGATTACATTTGGGTGTAATGCAGGGTCCACGCGGAGAGCAAGAGCCAGCTATTCGTGCTATGCTAGTAAAAGAAGTGCCTCAAACACAGCAGCAGAAGAAGAAATGGCGTGCTAATTTACTCATCAGACGCACAACGACCGATGGAGGGAGGTGACGATCTTTATGAAGCATTCGTAGTTTTTGGTCTGGAGGGATAGACCTGCGCGTGGTGGTATCACGCGTCAAAGACGGTCCATACTCATACATACACGACCGTAATTGAGCGTTCCAGAACATCACGCTAGTATTTTTGCCAAGGCGACATCATCATAATATGCGCGGGATTCCCAGAAGACAGTGCGGCATATTGGCTCAGTATTTGGTGTCGATAGCTGAGGAACCTGGACGGCAATTAGCCACGATGCCAACTGGATATGCCCCCCGATGCGGTCCAACAAGTCAATTACAATATGATGAGGTCATATGTAACGGCTGATGGGGATCCAAAGTTCTTTTCTCCTCAAACCAGTACAAAACGTGCCGACGGCAGCAAGGGGGCCCCAACAAGCCGGTGCGTCCATGCCCATCGTGGGCACTACGAGGCGAACTTCTGCTCTCGGTCGATAGAGAGCTATTACCAAAATAGCAAACGCGGCTCTTTTTCACAACAAAGAAAAGTCGCTCGTGTGACAGACGCGGTTGAATTCGGTCCGCACTCCCCGCGCAAACAACGCCTGACCATGGCCACAAACCAGCACTTGAGCAATTACCGAGAAACGTCGTGCAAGGGATTTCATTACCGCGACGCCAGTTGGCTCGTCGGTCCAGGTTCAATAAGCCATCCGTTTTAGCGTCGGCAGTGTTGCTTCCGCCGCGCGGGAAGGCGAACATCCGGGGTTGAAGTTTCCACAAAATCCACAAGGGCCGAGCACACGGCTTCGCGCTGGTGAGACCTACTGTAACAGGGGTGGGATATGTATGACTGGCTGCTGGCTAGACTAGTCTCTATTATTGGTGGTTTTCCTCGCTCATGTTGGGTTGGGTATTTGGGTATTTCCCGTCTTTTCCCCACACGACCTGTCATTGCGTGGAAACGGCCACTTTTGGAAAGGGTGAATGGAAAGTGAATCTTGGTGACTTTGCCATGGACTGATATCGAGGAAATTAGACGTGTTTAAACGAGATGAGTATCTGTTGTTGTAGTTGTTGTTGGATTGTTGTAGTTGTTGTTGGATTGTTGTAGTTGTTGTTGGATTGTTGTAGTTGTTGTTGGATTGTTGTAGTTGTTGTTGGATTGTTGTAGTTGTTGTTGGATTGTTGTAGTTGTTGTTGGATTGTTGTAGTTGTTGTTGGACTACTCTGCGTCTACACCAAGTCATGTGTCTCATATTTGGCGAGGCGTTAACAAGTGCGAGCGGATGGATGGTCGACTCGATACCAGCCAACGCCAAGCAGCCCTACTAGTATTGTATTTCTGTGAGTGGACACCATTGGTCCTCGACACAGGCTCAGTCCAAGTTGTAAGACACATGTGTGCGGCCTTTGGAATCATATTGCTCAGGAACTACTCTGCGTCTACACCAAGTCATGTGTCTCATATTTGGCGAGGCGTTAACAAGTGCGAGCGGATGGATGGTCGACTCGATACCAGCCAACGCCAAGCAGCCCTACTAGTATTGTATTTCTGTGAGTGGACACCATTGGTCCTCGACACAGGCTCAGTCCAAGTTGTAAGACACATGTGTGCGGCCTTTGGAATCATATTGCTCAGGAACCACTAGTGTCAACCTAGCTCAGTCTCGGCTCTGAACTGACTGCATCATGATGCAGGTGCGCTGCTATTGTGCCTAGCCGTGCTGTACAAGAGTGCCGTCGAAGGAGGACGGCCTTTGTTCAAGGCAACAATCGTCTCCATGGAGGCAACAGCAGTGAGTTGTTGTCAGATTTCGTCTTCACCATCAACCGTCAGCTATTTGCGGGCAACGTGAAAATATTTCAGCCAGGATCCGAAATTGGAGGTCCGGGATTCAAAGACCCAGGGAACCGGTCAGACCATTGGGCCGACCGTCTCAGTAGTTCAAGCCATGTCCTATTTCCCAGGAGGCATAGTCCTTCCGCGCCTGGGGCAAAGACAAGATTGCATATACCACCACCTTGGCGTGGCAAGCAAAATTCCAGATCAGGCAACGAGAATGTAGGTCACTTGGTCCAGAAACCTCAACCCAGTCTTAGCGCAGCCTTGTGCTTCATTACCGGCTCTCATCACAAAGGCATTGATTTGCCCAGCCCCTTGTTCCACTCGCAGTCTACGGTATTTGAAGGGGCGTGGCAGCCACCTACTCGCCATGAAAACAGATGGTATATGTTGCCTATCCCACCTTCCTTCTTCCATTCTCTACTTTCATACACTCTCTCCGAAAGGCCGTACCCCAACATCAACGTCGTCAATATTGTGCCAAAGACCAAAGCTTAAAACAAAAGATCAGCAACTCAGATTACCTTTTGTTCAGTCATCATGCAGTTAAAGAATGTCATCCTGGCAGCGGCAGTCGGGCTTGTCGACGCTCAGCGCCCCAAGGACCAAAGCATCTGCGACTATTACACGACCGCGTTGCTGAAGACCAACAACGCAACAAACCAGGCTACGCTGCTGACCCTGTTGGTAAACACAGTCGTCATTGGAAATTGTATAATCCTTCTGTGCCGTTTCACTCTTCGCAGTTTGGGCGCTAACCCGAGCACATAGACACCATGCCTAACCATAATGCCGTTCCTGGCATCCTCGGCCCCGGCGAGATTGACGGCAAACAGGTCAACCTTGCTCCTTACTTCAACGGTGCGCTTGCTTCAACGAATACTGGTGGAAAGATGGGCGAGTCTGTCAACTTCTTAGACGGCGGTGGCGCGGCGGTAAGTCGAGCCTGCTGACAATCTTGCTGAACTGGCGAAAAATGTGCTAATTGGAAAAGCCCCTGAAAGAGAACAAGCCCGCCAATGACGACAAAAGCCATCAGTAGTACGTACATTCTCCTCTGATGCTCCAGGATGCGCTGACCCCGGAAAAAAAGCTTCCTCCTCACGCACTTATACGAGTTCTTTGGAAGCCTCACAGGATGCAGCATGCAAGGAATGGCCGGATTCGACGCGTACAGCGGGCATGCTTCCATGGCAGAGGTTCACAAGTTCATGGATCTTGGAAAGCCAGAGATGGACTACTTTGTGGCGCAGGTTGGCCTCGCGGCGGCCTCTTTTGGCGTGGCCAAGGACGACGTCACTGCCATTGCCGACTCGCTCAACGCTGTTTTCAATGTTGCTTGCGGGCCGCCCACCACTGCCGTTAAAGCGCAGGGCCCTCAGCTGCAATCCATCTGTATCGACCAGTCTACTTGTCCCAAGGCTGCGAAGGATCCCATGTGCGACAGGTACCCGGCTGTTGTTAAGCCTAGCAACGCAACGGGCACCACGATGCCATCTGGGAGTACGAGTGCGACCGGCACCGCCTCTGGAACGACCGTGCCAAGCGGAACTGGTTCGGCAGTGCCGACTGCTGCTGCTGCCGTGAATGGATATAGCCTTGCGGCTGCTGTCGCTGGGCTGGCCGCTTTCCTTGTGTAGATAAGTGAGGCACCGACTAGATTTGGTTCAAGGAGGATGAGCAAATGTTGTTTGAGTAAACGAGTTCGGTAAATCTGTGTGTAATATATGAGTAATTACTCTGGCCGTAGTGCTTGGGGTAATGTAATAATAAGGGATGATGTATATTTTCTGCTAGACCCTGTGTTGGAATCTTATTTTCTGGTACGCTTTTTACATGTCGCCGGATTGTATGACAAAGAGCCCAGAGGACCGTTCATTTGGTCGTTGAGCCATGGAGCAAAATATCCAGTGATTGCGGCCCTTGGCCGAATACCCACGATATGGTTATCAAAAGAACGCGCTCTAGCTGAACAGCAACTATACCCCCTTATATTCCGTCGACAAGTATCCAGCTCAAATGTGACCTTTTGGTTCCCTCTCTATCTATGGTCCTGACAAAAATACAGAACAAGGTAACTGTTACACGGAAATGGCCCAATGTCAAAGGTTACACAAGGGCTACGGTCACGAGACCTAGGGCAAAGTCTCTCACCGACTTCTTGTATTCAAAGAGGTCTTTGGTCAACGAGGTCTTGAGGAAAACCAAGGACTTTTGATACCAAAGACTGTTATCAGATGAATTGAGCTGAATTGCTCCAAGCCCTATAACGAGCCCTTGTCACAGTAACCGCGTACAATAGCTCCTGTGCGAAAAGGGGTTTGCCGCAACTTGGGTAGCAGGCCATATCTCAATTGAATTTTATAAAATGAGCTAGGTAATCAACAGTAACTAAGCTAGTAATTGACGAGGCTTTTATAGTTTTGCCTCAAGGCCTCGTGGAAAACTGAGAAACTGAAAGTCGATTATTGACATTAAATTGAACCCTTTATTCCAAGCCCAGCTACCCTGCCCTTGGCAAACATGTTTTGGGAGTTTTACTCATCACTTTCTGTCACACAGTCAAAGCTCAATAATCTCACCGCCCAACAAAGGGGCATCGCCGATACAGGACCTGGAGGTTACACAGACTGAACACATGACCCGCTGGGAGCCTTAGACACAGCTGTTCCTTTTGTCACACGGATTAGGTCAAGCAAGGATTAGAAGCCCTTTGTTACACAAGGAGATCACGAGAACTATGGGGCACACTAGGCACGGGCCGTTCCTTTCATGTATATAAGATGGTCTCCCCTCGCCTTCTGGTTTGGAGGAACCAAGGACCTTTGACATCCTACAAGATTATCATTGAATTGAGCCCTTTTGCTTCAAGCCCTCTAACGAGCCCTTGTCACATTGGCACCAATTGCTCAATTCCTTGCTGTTTAACATTTGATTAGTCAAATATATACTGCTGTCCCTTCTTAGTACATTCTATTGTCTCATGGCTTTGCATGCCTGGCATATCTTTTTCCAACCTGAACCGCCATCATAGACCCTTGATATACTGTAGTGGTAGCTCCATTGCCCTGGGATATGATCGATCCGTTCGTTGGAACTAGAACATTGAAGGCAGATGGCTACACCATATATTTCGTGAAATATCATGTCATATATAGATAGCCCTTAGTGAGTCATCCTTTATTGAGCCGATCCTTGTTACAATACTTGCGGTGAGACCTCGTAGTACCGCTTGTGGTGATGCTTGTAGTGACGCCTTGGTCGATTTTTTTGCATATTTGGCTAAATTCTAGGAAAGAGTCAGTAAAAATCCCGCATAATACTTCCATATAATTAGAAGGGCTTTGTCTCCACCCTCACCGATGCCAGCAATGTTTGGCCGCCCTAGCGATAGTGAGCCCAATTGGGGATGCGCGATGCCGTCATTGAAGACATGCTGTTGAGCGATTACTTTAAGGATTCAAAGAGAAGGTTCTTTCCTTTTGTGTGCTCTTTTCTTTTCTTTAAGACCCTTTCTAGCTAGTACCCTGGCAACTCGTGTTGAGGCATCGTATACGGTTACGGTGGATTACTCTCCGTCATCCAGGGCCGTAGCAATTAATTACTAGCCCAGAATAATAATCACTAACATGCACCCCTTTTTGAACGTTGTATTGCCTAGTGATTGACATGACTAGCCGTGGCACAGCCCTTTA